CCGGATCACCCTTTAAACACCAAAATAGTGGGGGCAAAATTCGTTTGAGGACAACAATTAAAGATTGTGTTTGAGCCTTAAATTTCTGAATATATACTTTGCTATTTCTTCATCTCCATACTTCTTTCGATTTTTTATTTTGTTTGTAATTCGTTCTCATAATATCTTTGGTGGAGTAACATTATTTCTAACAATCTCAAACGAATTTTTGTGATGGAGAACGAAACTACAATGGCGACCATCAAATTGATGAATCAAGATTTGGTTCGATTGGATCGGTTCGATGGCACAAATTTCACAAGGTGGCAAGACAAACTGAAGTTTCTTCTCACCGCATTGAAGATCTTCTATATCTTAGACCCAGAATTGACGCCATTACCGGAACCCACCAATGGAGAAACCGAGGCAGTTAGAGCAGAAAGGCAAAAACGATAAGAAAATGAACTCATATGTCGGGGTCACATACTCAATGCTCTTTCAGATCGTTTATATGATTTGTACACCAACACTTCTTCGGCAAAGGAGATATGGGAGGCTTTAGAAAGCAAATACAAAGCAGAGGAAGAAGGTACAAAGAAATTTTTAATTTCAAAATATTTTGATTTTAAGTTTTTGGAAAATAGTTGCAAGTACAAAGAAATTTATAATTTCAAAATATTTTGATTTTAAGTTTTTGAAAAATATTCCCCTACTTCCTCAAGTACATGAGTTGCAAGTCCTTGTCAACAAATTAAAGGCGGTAAAGATTGAAATCTCGGAGACCTTTCAAGTGGGGGCTATAATAGCAAAACTCCCGAGAACTTGGAAAGGATACCGGAAGAAAATTATGCATAGTTCCGAAGATTACTCTTTGGAACAATTGCAAAAGCACCTAAGGATTGAAGAAGAATCCAGGTTACGCGATAGAAGTGAAAACTCTTCGGAAGGAACTTCTAAAGCAAATGCTATAGAGAAATTTGAACCACCTGGAAAAATCAACAAAAGGAAGCCTTTAAGAAACTTTAACAAGTTCAAGAAGAAGAACAAAGGAGGTTGCTTTGTGTGTGGAAAGTCTGGTCACTATGCAAAAGACTGTAGACACCGGAAAAGAAACAACTCCGAAGGTAAAATCAACTCCATTCAAGAAGAAAAGATTGTGGCCACCATGAGCGAGATAAATGCTATTAAGGGAAAGGTTCCCGGATGGTGGTATGATACTTGTGCTACGGTACATGTATTATATGATAAATCTTTATTCAAGACCTATCATGAAATGGATGGAGACCAAGAGATTCAAATGGGCAACGAAGTTCGATCCAAAGTCATTGGTAAAGGAAATGTAGATTTAATCTTCGCTTCCGGGAAAAACGTTACTCTCACTAATGTATTACATGTTCCGGATATGAATCGGAACTTAGTTAGTGGAAATCTCTTAGGAAAACCGGGTATCAAAAGTGTGTATGAATCCGGTAAACTTGTATTATCCCTTAAAGGGAATTTTGTTGGAAAAGGCTATTCTTGTGAAGGAATGATCAAACTTTGTACTGTTGACAATAAAATAAATAAAGTTGATCTTGCTTATGTTGTGGATTTATTTTCATTATGGCATGCTAGGTTAGGTCATATTGGTAAAAGTACCATGAAACGAATGAAAAAGTGTGACTTAATTTCATATGATGAAAATAATGAATATAGATGCAAAATTTGTGTAGAATCTAAGATGATTAAAAAACAATATCAAAGTGTAAAAAGAACCTCTAGTATTTTGGAACTAATTCATACGGATATATGTGAATTAAACGGCATGTTAACTAGAGGTGGAAATAGGTATTTTATTACCTTTATCGATGACTTTTCTAGATATACATATGTGTATTTAATGAAACATAAACATGAAGCATTTAACATGTTTAAGATTTATAAGAATGAAGTTGAAAATCATCTAGAAAAGAAAATAAAAACCTTAAGGAGTGATAGAGGTGGTAAATACTTTTCTAGTGATTTTAATTTATTTTGTGAACAACATGGCATAATTCATCAATGTTCTGCACCTAGGACTCCCGAACAAAATGGTTTGGCTGAAAGAAAGAATAAAACATTAGTAGAAATGATTAATGCTATGCTTATATTTGCTAAGTTACCTTTTAACTTATGGGGTGAAGCTTTATTAAGTGCATGTAGGATACTTAATAGGATTCCTTCAAAACATACTAAGGTTTCTCCTTATCAATTATGGAAAGGAAGAAAACCAAACATTGGATACTTCAAAGTATGGGGGTGTCTCGCCTATTGCAAGAACACGAACCCTAATAGAAACAAATTAGGTCCAAGAGGCATTAAATGTGCTTTTGTTGGATATGCTAACAATAGCAAATCTTATAGATTGTTAAATTTGGAGACCAATGTGATTATTGAATCAAGTGATGTAGAGTTCTTTGAAGATTCGTTAACCTCGAATAACAAATTAAGGGAAAATCTTGAAAATATCCCAAGCTCAAGTGGAACACGGGATGAAATATCTTCTAAAGATATTAATGAATCTAATGAACCACGAAGAAGCAAAAGAACTCGAGTTAAGAAGTCTTTAGGACTGGATGAAATTGATTTTCAACTTATCTCCTTTTACTTAGTAGAAGGAAATGAGTTGAATGTTGTAAGAACAATTCCTTTTGTTCTACAAGTGGAAATCGATCCTAAAACTTTTAAAGAAACTATGGCTTCTCGAGATAGCATGTTTTGGAAAGATGCAATCAAGAATGAAATGGATTCAATAATGTCAAATAAAACTTGGGAACTTGTCGATCTACCACCCGGATCCAAACCTATTGGTTGTAAATGGGTATTTAGGAGAAAATACAATGTTGATGGTTCTCTAAATACTTTCAAAGCTAGACTTGTAGCCAAATGTTATCGACAAAAGGAAGGAATTGACTATTTTGAATCTTATGCACCGGTAGCCAGAATAACTTCAATTAGGATATTGTTTGCATTAACCTCGATATATGACTTGCATGTTCATCAAATGGATGTCAAAACGACAGTCCTAAATGGGGATCTCGATGAGGAGGTTTATATAGAACAACTAGAAGGTTTTGTTTTACCAAGAAATGAACATAAGATATGCAAGTTAATTAAATCGTTATATGGACTAAAGCAAGCACCTAAGAAGTGGCATGAGAAATTTGACTTAGCAATTATATCATATGGATTTAAACATAATAGTGTAGATAGNGTGTTTGTAAAATAAATAAGGAAATAAATTTTCAAATTAATAAATTATTGAGAATAAAAAAAGAGAAGAAAATGATGAAAAACCATTCATTTGGTGTAAGATTTGTTGTAATAATTGGATATGATTTATAGTTTGATATAAAAATGGTGCAAAACTTACCTCAAATTTCGGTGCAGAATTGGAGATGAACTAATTATTTGTTTTAGCTTTTCTAGGAAGAAATAAGGAAAACATGATCCAGAGAATATGGAACTTCTGATTCCAGCCAAACTCATCCAATACACAAAGGAATCTATTTAAATTTCAGGACAATGAAGGATTAAATTCCTAGTCGTACTATCACTTATTAAGCTCTTGTTTGAGCCCCATTTTTTTGGGAAGAATAAAATTTTGAATAGTGTATTGATGAGAAATGTGTGGTTAAAAAATAAGGAAAAATTTTGGATTTATGTGTAATATTATTTTATTGAAAAATGTGTGGTTGAAATGATGTCAAAACACTGTTGAAAAATGAATTTTTCCAAAAAAAATGGGACTCAAACAAGGGCTATATTGTAGCATCACCTAAAAACTGGGGAAAATTTGATTAATAAAAATTCCAAAGACAATGCCGATTATTTTCAAAGCCCAACGGGATAGAAAGTATCAAAATAATACGAAAGTATGTTCCATGTGTTCATGTTGGAGTTGTTTCTAAAAGAATGTATCCGACATTGGAAATGTTTCAAACGCACGGTTCGCTGTGGTTAGATAGCATGGTCCGGGGAATTGAATTCCACGTCGAGAAAGACAACACTAACAAAATTTTAGAAGTATAAGAATTCTACGGAGGAAAAAGATAAGCCTATTGAATATGGCGAGTTAATTGTTACAATGGTCACTGAACTTATGTCTATATCTTTAATTTGTCACTGAAATTCAAAATGTCGAGTTTTGGTCATTGAATTTAGGTTCATATTTTTTATTGTTCATAGAAATTTAAATGTCGAGTTTTGGCCATTGAAATTTGAAAAATGTTGTACATTACTCAATGTAAACTCGATATTTTTCAAAATTCAACATTTATGTCCGTGAATAACGTATGACGTTTTTCAAAATTCAGTGACCAAAATTCGATATTTTAAATTTCGACGAGCAATCGAAGACATGGACCTAAGTTTAGTGATCAAATCTCGACTTTTTAAGCTTCAATGACCAATCAAAGACATGGGTTTAAGTTCAGTAACCATTGGAACAATTAATTCGAATATGGTAGGACTAAACTGCTATAAAAACCAGGCAATCCGACCATTGAAAATTAAATTTGGTTGAACCTAAAGCCAGATTTGAATTAAACAGTTATGCTAGAGGCACAAAAAAAGGTTGAAATTTTTTTTACTGAAGAACACTTGACAATTTTTCATTAGTTTTTGACACGACAATGACAGAAAATGCACCATACATTTCCATGAATAATTCCCTGTAATGAACATCAAGTATCAGGCTTCTTCAATCATTTGTGTTTGGTTGTCTTTGTTCGTCACTGATTTGGTTGCGGGTGGGGAGGGTGGGGGGCAAATAACATCGTCAAGAAAAAGACAGTAACGTGTGTCCTGAAGCCATATACAGATTGTCAAGTTTCCTAAATCAACACCATGACCAGGCCAAAAAGAAAGAGAAAAATTAAAAAATAACACATCTTGTAAATGAATGTGGTAATGTTACGTATATAAGTAATAATATATACATAATAAATACTTACTGGAAGGATAAAGCATCCAATAAAAAGGATTTTAGGCAGAAATTTTATACGATAATTACAAGATTAATCACTAGTAGATATAGTTATACAACTAGTTAACTACACACAATAACAAACAATTACAAAGATCTAATTGAAATGTAAATCAAGTATATAAAACATAGATACACTTTAAGTTATACAGAGAAAAATTGTGATACAGAGAATATCATTCAAAAAATAACTATATAAAAACATGCTGATATACAATTTGACACACATTTTCATTTGTCAATTCAAGAATTTATGTTGACAACCATAAACAAGTGTCGATTCTCAAAAGAAGCAGTACGAATGTGGTTAGAAGCACGAGCCATAGTCTTACTTCCAGGATTTGGAGAATTTTGGTAATGCTCTGTAGACTCTTGCGTGGTTGTTAGTAACTAGTTTACATGATGTTGTCACGACTGCGGCAGTATCAAAAACGGATTCCCGGGAGTAACCCTATAAAGAAAATAACTTAAATTAATTAATCATCTAAATTAGAAAAGAAACATCGGCCAACAGAAGATTACCTTAGGTCCAATCCGGGTTTTCCAGAAATGTTGCTTGGTACTTGGCCGGTCAGATTATTGTTATAAACGAAGCTGACACCGATGACCACAAATGAGTGTGTTAATATTTTTATCGAATAGCAAACAATCTCCTTCTTAAACATGAATTTGATTTCATGTCAGAGCCAATAGCCAGCAAACGTACAAGAATACAATATTTACATCTATGCTCGTCTCCAAATTTGTGAACTAACAAAATAATGATAACAGAAAATAAGCCAGTAAAATTCTCTAGTAGGCGTTTTCAGGCTATTGGCTGATGCAACATTTTCAATCATAAAAAATCATATACAAGTATTGACATAAAATACAACTGAACAAGAACAAGATTGAGAAAGAAAGAGGGAGAGAACAGAGAATTTAAAGGAAGAAAATATCAATTTATTCAATATGAAAGTCTTAACTATTACAATGTATAAGCCCATTTATATAGGGTCTAAACTAGTCTAATATAAGTAAGAAAATAATATAAAATCTATTAAATAAAATGCTAATTATGTTTCTCAAAATAAGTATCATATTTTGAAAATAAACAACTTACAAAATACTAGAAAATCGATTAAATAAAACCCTCATTAAGTTTCCTAAATAAGTATCTAATTTGGACAGTGAATTACATAATATCTCTACTATGATTCCCATCAAGCATTCTGCAAATGTCTGAATGGAATGTAGCTACTTCCACTTCACACATTTGTGGAATAAACCACCCAATAACTTAGAATTTGGTTGAATTTTTACTAGTTTGTTCATTGCTGGATTACGGACAATCGTAATTCATATAATCAAGATTGATTAGCCACTGAAAACTGTGGTTTTAGGACTATATCCCAACATGCAGGAAAAGGTATAAAAAGTTAAGGTTGCTGTATCTGGTATATTGGTAAAGACCTGACAAAACCACCACTTTCTTTCAATCAAGAATGTCGCCAAGCAGCAGGGGATTAAACTTAAATTTATGGTGAGAAAACCACAAGAAAGTATTATGGATTGCATACATAACGCACATGATGGATGAATTGAACACTAGAATTTTCCTAGTGCGATAATGGATATCTGTATGAAACATAAATTTCAACTTGAGAAAAAGCTGGGAATTGAACTTACAGCTCACGCAAGTTTTTCAAGTTTCCCAGCAATGGGGGAATATGACCACCAAGCCGGTTGTCTTCCAAATGCCTGAAGTGAAAGACAATGTGTATTAGGGAAAGAAATTATGTTCTTAAATTGTCCAGAGAATACATGGATGCCAAAATAGTAAATATCTTGACGCATTCAGGTCACTTTGTCACGCAAAAACATCTGGCTATTTACTATCTTGTAAGAAATCATTCTCTATCCACTAAAGTAATGAAGGCAACTGCAAAAAATGAAAAAATGAAAATGGTTCATGACTCACAAAATTGTCAATCCCTTTAATGAACTGAGGTCGGGTATAGTTCCCGACAGACTATTGTTCCCAAGCAAGCTGTCAATGACAAGAGATTAGTAATGAAAGAATCACTTGTGTAAATAGTTTATATATATGCAAATTAATATTTACGTACATGGTTGTCAATGCCGTCATCTTGGAAATATATGGTGAGATCAATCCTGAAAGACCCATGCCCGTCATGTTTCTGCAGACAAGAGGAAAAAGATGAGAATACTGCAATTTCACCTTCTTATGATGATGAGAATAGATGTTCAGGATGATATTATAATTTTTAATGTACAACAAGTTCCAACTCACAAGGTTACTATACGAATTCGGGGTCCTTCTGAGCAAGTAACTCCAGTCCATGAGTATTGACGGGGTAAACACGGATCACCATTCCAATCAACTGGTGGATTCTGGAAACTTTTTTTCAAGCCTTCCATAGCAACAACTGCAATTAAAAAGAACCTAGATATGTATTTTCATACTTTTAAATAAGTAAATAGGTCATGAAAAGAGAAGGAAAGAGACATTATAAGTACCAAGTGAAGATAACCAAATAGGTACCTATTTCAAAAGAGGAGAAATATCACCATGCAAGAGGTCGAATGTATGGTAAAAAAAATTATTTTTCCTTCACTATTAAGAGAACTGGCTTCAAAGAAGTGATTCAAGCAAGCCAATGCCAGCGACTTCATTTCAGAATTATGATTCCAAAAAGTTGGCTATGTCACCGGATTATTAATTTTAGATCAAGAGAACTTATCTAAAGCAGGGTATACAATTGAAAATGATATCATGGTATGTAAGAGAAGATTAGGAGCAGAACCATACCATCACGTGCGAGAGTTTTTCCTCCAACTGTCAGCACTTGAAAAACTTCTCCTGCGTTGATTAGGGGACCAATACTTGATCCAGTAGAAGGAGTTAATGCTATATTTGTCAAACCAGAAAGAGGCCACTGGTTTGCAAAGACAACAACACCAGCTGGAGTCACACTGAGGTTATTATAATAAGTTATCCCATTTATGGTTATGTCAAACATTCTTGAGCTTGTTGAAACACGATCATCGGCAAAATAAAGAGCGACGTAATATGTCGAGTTAGGGAGATATGCTGGAGGCCACATTAACAGCAGGGGTTCTGGTTGCTCTTTTGTCAATCGTGTCTGAAACACTCTCACTGGCGGTAGATTCCAGATACCGGGAACGGAAACATTTTCAGAACTCAACGAGGGAGAATTACTCTCTCCAAATGGCACCCAATAACGATCAAATTGATCATCAGGATATCTGTTGATTTCGCATTCTTAGAGTTAGCCAATTGACAGAGAAAAATACTAATAAACAAATCTTGTGATTAGAAAAAAATCATTCTTTTTAGTTTTTACGAGCAGTAGAAGGGGGCATTGTGCAAGATTCCAGAATGTTGACATTTTCGAGTTTATGCTTTCTCGAAACAAAACAACTTCTATCATTATTGAGAGGCAAGGCGAAATTTATCCTTGCGCCTAAGTACGAAAAATGGCTACCATCTACAACTTTTAACCAAAGTTTGTTGGGATAGACAATCCATGAATGCCAAATTGTGATATCAATCAATGCCAGAGAAGCAATACACACACATTAAAGCAAAATTTAAAGGGAAAGACAATCCAAGAATGCTTAATTTGACAAGTACTAATGTCCACAAAAAAAAAGAAAAAAAAGAAAAAAAAAAGAAAAAAAGAAAAAGAAAAAAAAAGGGATTTGCCCCTAGATTAATTTACTCGAAAAGAAATTACCAAAAATTTTCTACTTTCAAGTATTCGTATTGAGAAATCATGCAAATTCCATAGAAGCAAGAAGTTCATAAATCAACAAAAATAATTAAATTAAAAACTCACTTTATTATCGATCCTCTGAACCCGAAACTGTGCCTTGCAACTAAACTCAAAGCATAAGTATGAAAGTCTGTGGAATTGTACAACTGATCCCACAAAGGCACAACCTCCAGAGAAGAAATAAAAGGATCTGAATCTGTATATGTATTAGCAGCCAAACACACACTCAAATTCTTCCCAGTAGGCTTGAAAATTCCTTCATAATATATAAAATTTCCATTCATATAATCCTCTGTTGTATTCACCACAGCCCATAATGTCCCATCAACTATCTGATCGAACACCGGTGGCCGTGGGTTGCTATAACCACCAATTTCACCATAGAAATATGCAGTCCTCACCATGTATTTCGTCGTACGATCTGGTACTACCGGAATTTCGTAAATTTCACCAACCACTTAGTTTTTATATTCTCACCGTCCAGATATATTTACATAGAAAATTTTTGATCAAAACTATAATGTAAGAATAGAGAATCTCCATTTCCCCCTCCCTTTATAAAGCATAAAACCTCATGCACATGTTTTAACACAAATAACTCAGAACCAAACACTTCATTTAATCTTCTGGCTTTTCTTCTCTTCTTTCCATTCTAAAATGGTTTCCCTGGAAACTGTTCAGGGTAGCTCTAAATGCATTGAACCAAATTCAAGTCCCCGGATTTCGTTCTCTGCTGATTTTCTTGATGAAAATAACTTCATTTCTATATGTCCAAATCCTCAGGCAGAGAAAAAAGAAAGAGAGATAGCGTTAAATGCCGAATTTGAGTTTCTTTCGGCGAATTCAACGAGTCAAAACATGATAACTGCAGACGAGCTTTTCTCCGAAGGTAAGTTGCTTCCTTTTTGGCAAATGCATCACTCTGAGAAACTCCACAAGATTAGCCTCAAAACGGAGAACGATGAAGAGGTAACGGGTGGAAAAGAGACGAATAACAAGGAAGACACCAGAATCAGTTGGTTTCTTGATGATGATCCCTCTCCTCGACCTCCTAAATGCACTGTTTTATGGAAGGAGTTGTTAAAGTTGAAAAAACAACGCGCTTCTACCTTGTCTCCATCTTCTTCTTCCTCATCGTCCTCTTCCAGAGGCTCACTGGTGGATGTGCCTCCAGTCAATGAAAGTAAAGAACGAGTTGGACCTCGAGACAAGACTGTAAAGAGACTCAAGAAGGGGCTGGACAGAACAAGATCGACTAGTATGCGTATAAGACCGATGATCAATGTGCCTATTTGCACACAAGGGAAAAACAGTGCATTGCCTCCCCTTTTCTCCATAAGGAAAGGAAGATTAGAGAGGTAAGAACAAGAAGCTGGTAGCTATTTGTTGGGTGTTTTTAGAAATGTCATTATTCCTCTCTCTCCCTCTCCGTCCTTTTTTTTTTAAAATCATAATTGATTTCATGTTCTTTCTTTGGTTAAATTGTTATTTCAAGTAGAATTTGGTATGATTTACAATGTGGATACTGACTTTACTTTTGTAAGAATGTTTCTGCAACTAATTTCCATTGATTCTAATAAGATTACCTTGAAGGAGAAAGGGGTGTACCAAATCTAAGAGGGACTGTTATAGTTGCTTTAGATTTTCCCACACTAAATCTTGTAATAAATTGAACGGAGTGGCAGAGCCTACAGATTTTCTTTGAACAAGGATTAAGGGCATCTCTACTAAATGCACCAAATCATCAAAATACACCAAATTTTGGTGCAAAACCTCTCCAATATGGCACCAAGATTTGTACATCTATTTGCCGAACTAATTGATAGAGGGTATTTGTATCATTTTTATTATTTATTTTTAATACAATAAATTATTATTATTATGATTCTTATTTTGATTAATAATAATAAAATAAATTTTAACAATGTAAAAAATAATTTTTTATATTTATTAATGAATTTAATATTTTCGTCAATTTAACTTAATTATTTATTTAGTAATTTTTGTGTTTGTAAAATAAATAAGGAAATAAATTTTCAAATTAATAAATTATTGAGAATAAAAAAAGAGAAGAAAATGATGAAAAACTGTTTATTTGGTGTAAGTTTTGTTGTAATAACTGGAGATGATTTATAGTTTGATATAAAAATGGTGCACAACTTATCTCAAATTTTGGTGCAGAATTGGAGATGACCTAATTATTTGTTTTAGCTTTTCTAGGAAGAAATAAGGAAAACATGATCAAGAGAATAAGGAACTTCTGATTCCAGCCAAACTCATCCAATACACAGAGGAATCTATTTAAATTTCAGGACAGTGAAGGATTAAATTCCTAGTCGTTATTATATTGTAGCATCACCTAAAAACTGGGGAAAATTTGATTAATAAAAATTCCAAAGACAAGGCCGATTATTTTCAAAGCCTAACGGGATAGAATGTATCAAAATAATACGAAAGTATGTTCCATGTGTTCATGTTGGAGTTGTTTCTAAAAGAATGTATCCGACATTGTAAATGTTTCAAACGCACGGTTCGCTGTGGTAAGATAGCATGGTCCGGGGAATTGAATTCCACGTCGAGAAAGACAACACTAATAAAATTTTAGAAGTACAAGAATTCTACGGAGTAAAAAGATAAGCCTGTTGAATATGGCGAGTTAATTATTACAATGGTCACTGAACTTATGTCTATATCTTTAATTTGTCACTGAAATTCAAAATGTCGAGTTTTGGTCATTGAATTTAGGTTCATGTTTTTTATTGTTCATAGAAATTTAAATGTCGAGTTTTGGCCATTGAAATTTGAAAAATGTTGTACATTACTCAATGTAAACTCGATATTTTTCAAAATTCAACATTTATGTCCGTGAATAACGTATGACGTTTTTCAAAATTCAGTGACCAAAATTCGATATTTTAAATTTCGACGAGCAATCGAAGAAATGGACCTAAGTTTAGTGATCAAATCTCGACTTTTTAAGCTTCAATGACCAATCAAAGACATGGGTTTAAGTTCAGTAACCATTGGAACAATTAATTCGAATATGGTAGGACTAAACTGCTATAAAAACCAGGCAATCCGACCATTGAAAATTAAATTTGGTTGAACCTAAAGCCAGATTTGAATTAAACAGTTATGCTAGAGGCACAAAGGTTGAAATTTTTTTTACTGAAGAACACTTGACAATTTTTCATTAGTTTTTGACACGACAATGACAGAAAATGCACCATACATTTCCATGAATAATTCCCTGTAATGAACATCAAGTATCAGGCTTCTTCAATCATTTGTGTTTGGTTGTCTTTGTTCGTCACTGATTTGGTTGCGGGTGGGGAGGGTGGGGGGCAAATAACATCGTCAAGAAAAAGACAGTAACGTGTGTCCTGAAGCCATATACAGATTGTCAAGTTTCCTAAATCAACACCATGACCAGGCCAAAAAGAAAGAGAAAAATTAAAAAATAACACATCTTGTAAATGAATGTGGTAATGTTACGTATATAAGTAATAATATATACATAATAAATACTTACTGGAAGGATAAAGCATCCAATAAAAAGGATTTTAGGCAGAAATTTTATACGATAATTACAAGATTAATCACTAGTAGATATAGTTATACAACTAGTTAACTACACACAATAACAAACAATTACAAAGATCTAATTGAAATGTAAATCAAGTATATAAAACATAGATACACGTTAAGTTATACAGAGAAAAATTGTGATACAGAGAATATCATTCAAAAAATAACTATATAAAAACATGCTGATATACAATTTGACACACATTTTCATTTGTCAATTCAAGAATTTATGTTGACAACCATAAACAAGTGTCGATTCTCAAAAGAAGCAGTACGAATGCGGTTAGAAGCACGAGCCATAGTCTTACTTCCAGGATTTGGAGAATTTTGGTAATGCTCTGTAGACTCTTGCGTGGTTGTTAGTAACTAGTTTACATGATGTTGTCACGACTGCGGCAGTATCAAAAACGGATTCCCGGGAGTAACCCTATAAAGAAAATAACTTAAATTAATTAATCATCTAAATTAGAAAAGAAACATCGGCCAACAGAAGATTACCTTAGGTCCAATCCGGGTTTTCCAGAAATGTTGCTTGGTACTTGGCCGGTCAGATTATTGTTATAAACGAAGCTGACACCGATGACCACAAATGAGTGTGTTAATATTTTTATCGAATAGCAAACGATCTCCCTTCTTAAACATGAATTTGATTTCATGTCAGAGCCAATAGCCAGCAAACGTACAAGAATACTATATTTACATCTATGCTCGTATCCAAATTTGTGTACTAAAACAAAATAATGATAACAGAAAATAAGCCAGTAAAATTTTCTCTGGTAGGCGTTTTCAGGCTATTGGGTGATGCAACATTTTCAATCATAAAAAATCATATACAAGTATTGACGTAAAATACAACTGAACAAGAACAAGATTGAGAAAGAAAGAGGGAGAGAACAGAGAATTTAAAGGAAGAAAATATCAATTTATTCGATATGAAAGTCTTAACTATTACAATGTATAAGCCCATTTATATAGGGTCTAAACTAGTCTAATATAAGTAAGAAAATAATATAAAATCTATTAAATAAAATGCTAATTATGTTTCTCAAAATAAGTATCATATTTTGAAAATAAACAACTTACAAAATACTAGAAAATCGATTAAATAAAACCCTCATTAAGTTTCCTAAATAAGTATCTAATTTGGACAGTGAATTACATAATATCTCTACTATGATTCCCATCAAGCATTCTGCAAATGTCTGAATGGAATGTAGCTACTTCCACTTCACACATTTGTGGAATAAACCACCCAATAACTTAGAATTTGGTTGAATTTTTACTAGTTTGTTCATTGCTGGATTACGGACAATCGTAATTCATATAATCAAGATTGATTAGCCACTGAAAACTGTGGTTTTAGGACTATATCCCAACATGCAGGAAAAGGTATAAAAAGTTAAGGTTGCTGTATCTGGTATATTGGTAAAGACCTGACAAAACCACCACTTTCTTTCAATCAAGAATGTCGCCAAGCAGCACGGGATTAAACTTAAATTTATGGTGAGAAAACCACAAGAAAGTATTATGGATTGCATACATAACGCACATGATGGATGAATTGAACACTAGAATTTTCCTAGTGCGATAATGGATATCTGTATGAAACATAAATTTCAACTTGAGAAAAAGCTGGGAATTGAACTTACAGCTCACGCAAGTTTTTCAAGTTTCCCAGCAATGGGGGAATATGACCACCAAGCCGGTTGTCTTCCAAATGCCTGAAGTGAAAGACAATGTGTATTAGGGAAAGAAATTATGTTCTTAAATTGTCCAGAGAATACATGGATGCCAAAATAGTAAATATCTTGACGCATTCAGGTCACTTTGTCACGCAAAAACATCTGGCTATTTACTATCTTGTAAGAAATCATTCTCTATCCACTAAAGTAATGAAGGCAACTGCAAAAAATGAAAAAATGAAAATGGTTCATGACTCACAAAATTGTCAATCCCTTTAATGAACTGAGGTCGGGTATAGTTCCCGACAGACTATTGTTCCCAAGCAAGCTGTCAATGACAAGAGATTAGTAATGAAAGAATCACTTGTGTAAATAGTTTATATATATGCAAATTAATATTTACGTACATGGTTGTCAATGCCGTCATCTTGGAAATATATGGTGAGATCAATCCTGAAAGACCCATGCCCGTCATGTTTCTGCAGACAAGAGGAAAAAGATGAGAATACTGCAATTTCACCTTCTTATGATGATGAGAATAGATGTTCAGGATGATATTATAATTTTTAATGTACAACAAGTTCCAACTCACAAGGTTACTATACGAATTCGGGGTCCTTCTGAGCAAGTAACTCCAGTCCATGAGTATTGACGGGGTAAACACGGATCACCATTCCAATCAACTGGTGGATTCTGGAAACTTTTTTTCAAGCCTTCCATAGCAACAACTGCAATTAAAAAGAACCTAGATATGTATTTTCATACTTTTAAATAAGTAAATAGGTCATGAAAAGAGAAGGAAAGAGACATTATAAGTACCAAGTGAAGATAACCAAATAGGTACCTATTTCAAAAGAGGAGAAATATCACCATGCAAGAGGTCGAATGTATGGTAAAAAAAATTATTTTTCCTTCACTATTAAGAGAACTGGCTTCAAAGAAGTGATTCAAGCAAGCCAATGCCAGCGACTTCATTTCAGAATTATGATTCCAAAAAGTTGGCTATGTCACCGGATTATTAATTTTAGATCAAGAGAACTTATCTAAAGCAGGGTATACAATTGAAAATGATATCATGGTATGTAAGAGAAGATTAGGAGCAGAACCATACCATCACGTGCGAGAGTTTTTCCTCCAACTGTCAGCACTTGAAAAACTTCTCCTGCGTTGATTAGGGGACCAATACTTGATCCAGTAGAAGGAGTTAATGCTATATTTGTCAAACCAGAAAGAGGCCACTGGTTTGCAAAGACAACAACACCAGCTGGAGTCACACTGAGGTTATTATAATAAGTTATCCCATTTATGGTTATGTCAAACATTCTTGAGCTTGTTGAAACACGATCATCGGCAAAATAAAGAGCGACGTAATATGTCGAGTTAGGGAGATATGCTGGAGGCCACATTAACAGCAGGGGTTCTGGTTGCTCTTTTGTCAATCGTGTCTGAAACACTCTCACTGGCGGTAGATTCCAGATACCGGGAACGGAAACATTTTCAGAACTCAACGAGGGAGAATTACTCTCTCCAAATGGCACCCAATAACGATCAAATTGATCATCAGGATATCTGTTGATTTCGCATTCTTAGAGTTAGCCAATTGACAGAGAAAAATACTAATAAACAAATCTTGTGATTAGAAAAAAATCATTCTTTTTAGTTTTTACGAGCAGTAGAAGGGGGCATTGTGCAAGATTCCAGAATGTTGACATTTTCGAGTTTATGCTTTCTCGAAACAAAACAACTTCTATCATTATTGAGAGGCAAGGCGAAATTTATCCTTGCGCCTAAGTACGAAAAATGGCTACCATCTACAACTTTTAACCAAAGTTTGTTGGGATAGACAATCCATGAATGCCAAATTGTGATATCAATCAATGCCAGAGAAGCAATACACACACATTAAAGCAAAATTTAAAGGGAAAGACAATCCAAGAATGCTTAATTTGACAAGTACTAATGTCCACAAAAAAAAAGAAAAAAAAGAAAAAAAAAAGAAAAAAAGAAAAAGAAAAAAAAAGGGATTTGCCCTAGATTAATTTACTCGAAAAGAAATTACCAAAAATTTTCTACTTTCAAGTATTCGTATTGAGAAATCATGCAAATTCCATAGAAGCAAGAAGTTCATAAATCAACAAAAATAATTAAATTAAAAACTCACTTTATTATCGATCCTCTGAACCCGAAACTGTGCCTTGCAACTAAACTCAAAGCATAAGTATGAAAGTCTGTGGAATTGTACAACTGATCCCACAAAGGCACAACCTCCAGAGAAGAAATAAAAGGATCTGAATCTGTATATGTATTAGCAGCCAAACACACACTCAAATTCTTCCCAGTAGGCTTGAAAATTCCTTCATAATATATAAAATTTCCATTCATATAATCCTCTGTTGTATTCACCACAGCCCATAATGTCCCATCAACTATCTGATCGAACACCGGTGGCCGTGGGTTGCTATAACCACCAATTTCACCATAGAAATATGCAGTCCTCACCATGTATTTCGTCGTACGATCTGGTACTACCGGAATTTCGTAGCAGAACTTCTTGAAAAGGTTGTTTTTCAATGGAAACGTGCGGACAGTGGCAAGAGTTCGGAGTAAATCCTTCGTCGTAACGTTCTTCGGAGTCCCCGAGGATATGTAGCCAGTGTCCGGCAGCCATTCTACGCCGTCGATCGTGGACTTTTCGGTGGAGCCACAATTAATTCGTACATCTGAAAGAAAAATTGAATTGTATAAACAAAATGTTCATAAATTCAAGAAATGTCAAACTTTTATATTGGCTGTTTTCATTTTAACCAAAACAAGAACACAGAATGAGATATATAGGAAAAAGGGGGAGATGGGTTTTACCTCTGGGGCGTTGAGAAAGGGAGGGGGCGAGGGCGGAGAATAAAGAAAGGCTGAATAGGAGGGCGGCGATCATGGCTGACGGTCTCGAGAGAGAGAGAGTGCAGAAGAAGGTTTGATGGAGTCGATGGTATAGTGGAGTTGAATGGGTCAGTTGGGGTTGGGGAAGCCCGACAAGAAACGAATATTTTTTTTTATACAGAGAGAGATGAAGTTGGTGAAGAGGAAAGAACATAGAATCACAAACGGGGCCCGGGGGAAGGGGGCGTGGAGTGAGGTGGATGTTAACGCGGGAAATAACCAGGTCAGAATGGAAGATTGTCTTTGAGTGACTCAACGTGCAAGCCTTCATTTTTCTTAATCTCTCGAAATGTGTCGACTTAATCAAATGTTTATAATATAATATTTTTCTGGCCAAACTGTACCAGTGATCCTCAACCTATCTCCATAAAAAGAAGCAACTATTCAACTTTTGATTATAGCTGCACAAGTCACAAAAAAGGTTTAAATCTCTGAATTATCAAATGGTTGTAAGAATTGCATACTAAGACCAGACAAATAAATTGCAAAATGTAATTACGTGCTGAAAAAATTATTGTTCGAAAGGAATTTATATTGACTACAAGAAGACTCCATTGCATGCCCATGTGTCTTTGTATGCTACACCTCATTCGTTGATGCTTAGTTGAAGCAAAAGATACCACGATCGCCGAAGTACCATTTAGCATTGAAATGAGCAAGATACAAATGTTTGTATAAAAACATGATTTAAAGTCAACAGTTTGATGCATTATATGAGATATCTTATCAAAACCACCAGAAAATCACACATGAGGAATATTATGAAAAGGCCAAGTGTTGATATACGCCGCCATGAGGTCGTTCTTAATATACTAGAGTCGTGCATTTTCACCTCCACGAGAGGTAGGAAGTGGGAGTAGAGCATAAGACTTGTCGTGAAACCAACACAACCGGTGTAATTCCCACCAAGTGGCTAGCAGGCCTTCTGGCCCACCACCAAGGGAAAATAGTTGCACTACATTTACAAAATTTTTGCTCACAGATGTTTTACAGAAAAGACACATTAGTGAGGTGGGTGGTTGATTTTTTGGCATTTTATATAACACATGGGGCCCGCACATAGGGGGATTCTGGCCAAATTCTGTGAACAAAAATACTGTACATGTAGAATTTTTCAAGAAAAAAACTAGCTATCCCATTGTAAGTAAGAGCAAATACACACTAGGTATTCAACAAATTATTTTTCATCATGAACTGAAAATAATGTACCATAATCAAGTATTTCGTTTTAGCTGTTAAACAGGCACTTTAAATGGGCCAGTTGTAATAAATTGCATAAGTG